GGTTCAACATCTGCATTGTCAATCTGTGGTAGAGTTTTACACTGTATTCTTTTGCAAGTTCCGTTTCCACTCCAATTACCATTCAAACATTCAATTGTTGCCTCACCAATCAGTTCATATCCTTCTTTACAAGAAATATTATAGTCAGAACCGAATACCGGTATTGCATTGTCTGGTGGGGTATACACTCCACATTCTGATTTAATACATATTGGCAACACGTCCCATTCCCCATTTGCCGTGCACGTTAAATTTTCTTTTCCAACGAGACCATATCCGTCATTGCATATAGCATGTGCTGTACTTCCAAATAAAGTTCCTGTCTGTTTGACGATAGTACCGTTACCAAGTTCGCCAATTTCGCCACAATCTTTAATTTCACATGATGGATACTTCGTCCAACTTCCATTTATCTGGCATTGTAATATTGATTCTCCTTTCAAATTATATCCGTCTTCACACTCTACAGTGAAGGTGCTGTTAAAGGTAGTTTTATCTAATCCAGTCAGTTTACTATTGTTTATATTGTTTGGTGGACCACAGTCTTTCAATTTACAATCTGGAATTTCGCTCCAAGTTTCGTTACCTTTACACATTACTATTTCTGCTCCGACAAGATCGTAACCACCTATACAAACCAACGAAATGTTAGTTCCTACAGCCGTTTCATTTATGTTTTCTGGGATTATTGCATTTTCAGGTACTATAAACTTCTGACATTCCAGTCGCATGCAAACGGGCTTTTCAGTCCATGATCCATTTTGTAAACAAATGCCTTGACTTTTTCCAATTAATTTGAAATTTTCTAAACATGCTATATCCACTGTATCATCATATTTTGTCCCAGTACCTGGAGAAACATTTCCATTGTCTACCAAACCATATGATCCACAATCTACAAGTTCACAACTTGGAAAACTGCTCCAATTTCCAGAAATACAAGACACAGAGGAATTTCCTTCCAAATTGTATCCTTCAACACATTCGAACTCAAAAACTGTTCCACTTTCTGACGTTGTTGAAACTCTGCTGTTATTAGGCTTGGAAAAATCTTCAGCCGAACAATTTGCTTCAACACAGGCAATTGTTGGCCATGTACCATCTGCTTTACAGGTTATATTACTGTCACCAACAAGAACAAATCCGCTTTCACATGTTATGTAAACAGAATCATCAAAGGTAAGGTCATTTAGTTTTGAATTATTTATTGCCATTGACGGCAGTTCAAAATCGCTGCAATTTATTGCTCTGCATGTTGGAAGCTCTGCCCAAGATGCATCTCCTTGACATTTAACCGTTGCATTTCCATTTATAACATACCCGTTTTCACAGTCCAAAGTCACATGTTCATTATAGGAATATATTGACTTATCCTCGCTAATGATTTTTATGTTTTCCGAAAGATTAAAAAGTTTGCAAACAATAGCATCACATGTTGGTGCTTCCTTCCAAGATCCGTCTGTCTGACAGCTTAAAACGTTTGTACCCTGAATCTGAAAGCCCAATTCGCAGCCTACCGTTACATTTTCTCCGTATAAGAACTGACTTTTATTTGGTGAAAAGAAAGCATTGGTTATTTCAAGAGGATCACAGTTTATTTGTATACATGTCGGTAATTCGGACCATGTCCCATTTGCTTTACAACTAACTGTGTTGCTACCCTCAAGTATGTAACCATCCGTACAATCTACAGTGACATTATCTAAATACTTGTACGGTTGCACACTAGGCTCAAATATGGCATCGGCAATATTAAGAAGATCGCAATCTATTGGGGTACATGCTGGAAGTCCGGACCATGTCCCATTCGTCATACAACTTACCGTATTGTTACCTTCAAGCGTGAAACCATCGTTGCAATCGACAGTAATGTTGTCTAAATACTGGTAAGGCTGTTCACTCGGCTCAAAGAAAGCATTTGTTATTTCAAGAGGATCACAGTTCATTGGCATACATGTCGGTAGTTCGGACCATGTCCCATTTGATTTACAACTAACTGTTTTGCTACCCTCAAGTATGTAACCATCCGTACAATCTACAGTGACATTATCTAAATACGTGTACGGTTGCACACTAGGCTCAAATATGGCATCGGTAATATTAAGAAGATCACAATCTATTGGGGTACATGCAGGTAGTCCGGACCATGTCCCATTCATCGTACAACTTACCGTATTGTTACCTTCGAGCGTGTAACCATCGTTGCAATCGACAGTTATGTTGTCTAAATACTGGTAAGGTTGTTCACTCGGCTCAAAGATGGCACTTGTTAATTCAAGATGATCACAGTTTATTGGCATACATGTGGGTAGTTCGGACCATGACCCATTTGTTGTACATGTTATTGTATTGTTACCTTCAAGTATGTAACCATCGTTACAATTGACGGTAACGTTGTCTAAATACTGATATGGCTGGTTAGTTGGTTCAAACGTAGCATTTGCTATTGCAAGATGATCACACTCCAATGTGACACATTTCGGTATATCGGTCCATGTTCCATTCGCAAGACATGTAACATTATTTTCACCTTGAATGTCAAAGCCGATATTACAAAGAACAGAAACGTTTGCGTCATAATCAAATTGTTGCAAGTCTGGAGTAATAGCTGCATTATCGGGTGTTTCAAACGTTTGACAGGTTACTATTTGGCATACAGGTGACTCACTCCAAGATTGGTTGGCGAAGCATTCGACCGAGGATAAATTACCATCAAACTGGTAGCCCGTGTCACAAGTAATTTTTATCACATCCCTGTAAATGCGACCGGAACTGTTTGAATCTATTTCGGAATTCGCTGGTTTTATGAATTCTGGACATTCAACAGGCATGCATATAGGCAGGTCCGTCCACGAACTCGGTGACGTACATAATATTCCTGTTTCGTTTGTTGAAAGTTCAAATCCGTCATCACACGAGATGTTTAAAAAGGAGTTGTACTGAGTTCCGTTTGATGTCGCATTTCCATTTGCAATCGCATATTCATTACCACAGTCAACTGAAAGCCATTTTAGTAATATAGAAAGAGAAATTATTAACAAATAATAAAAAATTATCGTTCAAAACTGATGCAATGAATTGTTTGATTTTAGCTGTAAAGTATTTTGCTGGACAAAATACCACTTGTGATCACAAGACAAATGTCACTGACTTCGAATCAAAAGTCTCTAGCTCATTTTGAATGCTTTGTTACTAAACATCTTAGAACGTTGCTTCATTAAACTATATAACAAACTTTGGAGAAAAAAACAACAACAATAAAACTTACTTGTAGTGCATGAGTCGGATGTTGTGTTATATGTTCTGCCGACAGGACATTTACACATTCCATCTAAGCATTGTGAATGCCTTGTTACGCATCGCTCTTTTTTAACAACTGTGCACGTTTCATTAAACTGTTTTGCTGTAAAAATCGACTTAAAGTTATATTATGGAAATTAAAATCTAGAAACTTCATTCACAACTTTATTTAGAGAAAGTCCTTTCAGATTTGATCTGACAATAGGAAGGGTGATATTGGAGACAAAACAAAGAAAAAATCAAGCAGTTTATTGAGAAAAAAATGGAATAAACGTGACTCTATTTATATGAAACCATATCATATTCTATCAAAAAAAATATTTACTTAAAACACATAGATAAAAAACATGTCAGAAGCGTCACTTTATTTTATTTATGAGTGTGTCCTCACTATATACAATATTACAAGGTAAACAAATAATAATGTTGATAATTGCGATAATTTCTTTAAAAAGTGTAAGTAACTAAATATATGCATATTCATGAACCAATATAATTCTCGGCTGGTACACGTTAGATATTTTATTCCTCTTACCGTTTATCACGCAAAAATTAATAGTAAAGTCCTTGCAGACTCGATATGTACATAGAAATTGTAAATATTAAGGAGATTAAGAATTTCATAAGGCATAACGCTGTCTTTCATTCTAATTCTGTTTTTCAAGAATATTTGAACTGCTTTGTGTATATTGAAAATTGTAACATGTATGTATATTCTAAAAAATAAAATGTATGCATGTTTAAACTAAATTGTAATTGTAAATGAATCTCACCCTATTTATCTTTCCATTATATGTCGCCAATAACTATCAATGTCTTTCGATTTTTATCATGGATTTTAAAGTATTTTTTATAATACCATTTACCTATTATAGCAGGATTTTGATCCGATGTGATAACTTTAGGTGTTTCTGTTACTATTGAGAAATTTACGACGACAAAGACACCGACCGTCTGCTCATCCACATCTATCTGTATATTAATGACAGCGCTTACTTCTGCTGCAGATGGCGCTGCATTGACTGTTCTGATTATTATCACATACCTGATAATTAAACTTCCGCTCCTGTGATCAAGTAAAAGAATAATGCAGAAGAGTAGTAAAACATTTTTATAGGAACAGAAAAAGAAGTTGCAGTCATGACTGACTTTATTGCCTGCTTGCAGAATTAAAATCTACTTTAGATTTAGCAAATAAGTGTTCAACAATGTATTCTGTGTTAAATGAGGGTTCATTCGCCCGTTTAGGCACTCAATGCAGCATTCGCTGTTGAGTCCCTGCCTACTTTGTAGGGCCACTCCCCTCGGATTTATTTAGGACATCGGCAGATGGTCTGCATGTACAAGTTCTGGTCTATATTTATTTTTCGTCATCCCGAGATCTTCAAATCTTTTGCCGATTCCCTGTGACTTCTCTGCGACGTGCACGCACCAAGGGGTGCGAAAAGTACAACAATTTAATGGTGGGTTGGTTGTTAGGGCAGTTAGCCACATTGAATTTACCAAAGCTCAGTTCAACTACCGCATCGTTCCTGGGCACACTGTCAAGCAGTTTACCAGTATTCGTTCCTTTCACTTTATCAAGGAACAGTAACTTCTGTATATGCAAGAGCAGAGGTACAGTGCGAACGACCGTAGAAAGGATTGTATGATCAAGGACAACGGAAATGATGTGCACTGTCCGGAAATTGAACCCAGGTCACCCGATTCATAGTCCAAACGCTCTACCTATATATGATGATATGCTACTTTAATGAAGTCGACTCGTACTTACTTGATTTCTGTCACCGCACACCCATGGTAGTTGAAACCTTTTGCTACGCCCGAGTCCCTAGCATTTTCATTTAGCTGAAAGTTTGTACAACAAAATATCAGCATCGGAAGAGAATGCAGTTTATGCAAAACTTTTATAATGAATAAAAACAGTTGAAAAAAGTTGTGTCCTTAGAAGTAACTCCAGTGAGGTCCAAAAGCGTATAACATACAATTTCAATTTCTTGCATAGATCAGCTGGGGGCACTTAAAACAATAAGATATGTTAAAGATAATAAGAAATATACTCGGAAATAAATTGAAAATCGTATAGTGTGCTGTTTTAGTCCGCTTTAAGTTAAAAGCGTTGTAACGTTTTATTCAATTTTGGGTCATTTTTCACAATCACAATTATACTTTTGAAAAATAACAGAGGCCGAAAAATCTGGAAAATTCGTATTCAAGTTATTGGTCTACACCTACACCAAATAGAACATTAGTCTTAAATAAGATATTTCTAGTTTAGTCGTGTCAAAAAATTAGATAGAGAAATTTGCTGTACCTAAGTTTATCGTTTATGGATAAATCAAAGTAATTCAGAAACGATGGGGAAAAATAAATATTCGATAATGGTGCCCTCACACATAAACCACGACCTTACTGCGACCTGAAAACTAGTAAAATAGCATTTTTCTTTCGAAAATCGTTGGTTTTCTTTCAAATTTCTCTCGCAGACGGTCCGGGGGTCTGCAGTCTTGTGTTCAGTACGTTTTCTCTATGTCCTCAATACGGTTCTTCTACGTCCATGGCGTTTCCACTGCGACTGTATTGCGTCCCCAAGGCGACCCCACGGCGATCATCGGCGACCCAGCTGCGACTGTGCTAAGTTCTCTGCGTCCTTACGGCGACTCTACGACGACTATTGCGTTTGTCCGGCGACTGTCCTGCGACTGTACGACGATCCTACTACGTTCTTGCTACGTCTATAAAAACAATACTTTTTACCAGTAGCAGTAGCGTCGCCAAAGGTTTCCGAGCAATTTCTTGTAATTTCATCGGTGACTCTACGGCGTCCTCAGTACGAGTGTACTACGTCTATTGCGTTCTTATTGCGTCCTTACTACGATGCTGCTGCGACTATGGCGACTCCACTGCGATCCCACGGCGACCTAACCAGGACTCAGCAAGAACGCAGAGTTTCTGCGACTGTTTTGTGCATGTTCAAAATAGTCGCCGACGGTCTGCGACCTTGTGCGTCCTTGGGTTCCTCGCTACGACCTCGCTGCGTCCCTGCTGCGTCAATGGCGACTGTGCTGCGTCCTGGGTCGTAGCAAGGTCGCAGTAAGGACGCAGTAAGGTCGCGAGGTATGTGTGAGGGCAGTATAAGGTAAAACTAGGTCCATCTGTATTTCCACGCAGACACTTCACTATTGGTGAATTCATTATCATTGTAAATTTATACCTGAGAACAAAATTCGTTTTCAACGTCCTTGAACTCTTCGGAGTTCGGGTCCGCCATACTGGAGTCATAGTTTCTATTCTTTATGGTAGCTTGGTACTCATATTGCAAGTAAACCTCTCCTTCTGAAATAATGATATTACCAGTATTATTAATAGTGATAATAATGAAAACATTACGGAACGTATAAATAATCAAAATTAAATATTGACACAACGCATGTTCTGATCTGCATAGATAAACCAACCACTAGGCCGGTTACGAGAAAGTGGCACTTAAGGACCACATAAATGTACGTATATTAAGACATCGAATATTTTGCAAATCCTATTCATGTAGTTATTTAGTCTTACAAACCTAACATGTTATCAAAACAAGAAGAGACCTTGATTACCATTGCATTGATTCGATGAACAAAATCATGCAAATATTAATTTTTTCCAAATATTTACTTAAACCCGATTGTATATTCGAGTTCTTAATTTTAACTTAATAATATCAATTAGTTTTAAATCCACTTCCTGGATAATCTGTTACCGGTGCGTTGCGCTGAGCGCAGTAAGACTCAAACCCACGGTACCTATGTCGAGAACTATACAAACCAGATAGCTTTATCAGGAGGGAACCTCTCAATTAAAGGGGGGAAATGTTGAAATCGGTCAAATGAATATGAAAATTGTAATAACCGGACTTCTAAAAAAGAATAAAAACCAGTCTGTTTAAGATAAAATTTTATAAATTTTTCTCTTTAAAATGATATTTTTATAAATCTTTCCGTTTATGATGAAAAATTTATATTTTTTCCGTTTTTATTAAGGAAACTGTTCTTCTAACGACAAATATTGTTATAATTATATTCATAAATCACTTTATCTTCAAAACTCTATCAACACTATGTTTTCCAGAAATACTTCATAATAATAGCCAAATCAATTTTGTTTGAAATACTTATAAAAAATATGCTCAGTATAGACAAACCCGGTCTAACCGATCTAAACTGAAGCCTTACTTAAAGTTTACTTTTATCGTATCTTAGTCTAATTGTCATTTACAACAAAAGAAGTGTTGACAGAAAAAATAAAAAATTATAATAACACTATTAAAAATACTGTTGCATGAAGTATCGAACCTTTATCTTTGTGTTGTGTTAGTATTACAGTCGGCACGACGGCAGCAACAATCAACACAACAGCCACTAACGACACGATGATTATAAGTGCTCGTTTATTCAGTCTCCGTCGGGTTGAATAAGAGCTGGACTGGTCACCGGACCATTTTGATATTGTCACATCATCGTCCAATCTTGAACTCGGCTCTGGTGTCCATTTTTTGCGTATCTGTAATTCATTGAGAGAGACACGTCATGTTTATATCACACGATTTCCCTGTTTATACTGTTATATATACCAGTAATATAACCATATAACAAAATGTAACCATATAACCAAATGTTACGAATTTCTTTATAAAACACATGTTTCATATTTTATGACAGGGTACGGTAATTATGCAGGTTTTCCAGTGCTTCTTTTCATGTTATTGCTGTTGTTGTTGTTGATGTTTTAAGTGCGGGGAAGAAGTAAAGTAGCTTGCAAACATTATGTAATGATAATAAATCTTACATTGGCTTTTATCTCTGGAATGTTATATAGCCCTCAACAGCCTCACTTTATATAAATAAATAAATAAATAAATAAAAAAATAAAAAAATAAATAAATAAATAAATAAATAAATAAATAAATAAATAAATAAATAAATAAATGACCTTCTTATTGAGGCAGTCTTTGCTCTACTTATTTTCGTTATTTTGCCTGTCTGTTCTTTTTTTCTTTTTCTTTTTTTTTGTTAATAGATATTACTATTTTTCTTAATTCAATAAATATTTCACTATTTTTTTCCCCTTACTCATAATCGCTACTGATTTAAATTGTTATAATTGGATTTCTTTCAAGTGTTCCATTGTTTAAAATATGTGCTATTTCACTAGAAGCATTGTTCCAATTAGTAAAACAATCAAGATAAGAAAGTATCTTATCTATCAGGACAAATTTGTGTATTTTTTAAAAGTTACACTAAACAGTCCGTCTTTACTTAAAATATTGAAATGTGACATGATCAGCAAAAGTATTAAGTTACGAATACTTGAGAGGCATTATCAAGTAGTTAGATCAACGTGGAGGAATACAAATTTTCCATTAACATGCACATTTTATGAAAATTTTCCTCATACCAATTGTTAAGAGAGTGCGGAAATTGCATATCAAACACACATTGTATTGAACCGAAAATTGCTATAATACAATGGTCATACATTTTATACTAGGTGCATTTTCAATTTTCCTTATTTTTTTCCATATTTTTGTGGTGCTTATTATGAATATTACTCTCAAGGTATAAATATTTAATGACAACAGTCTATTTTAATCATAAAGAACAGAAAATTCCGTTCTTTTAAATATTGCTTTTAATAGAATGGTGGACTTGATTCAGGGGTGGTCTTAAGTAGGGTTTATACTGTACATAATATTAAGAAAAATTACTAATTATACCAGTTAATCAAGGCATGTCATTTAATAACCATATTTAATATGCCATAAATGAAATGTTACTATTGTTGAAAAGGTAAAAAGCAAACATTTAAGTAACCCCATATAAAGCGCCGATCAAGGAGGAAGTGTAAATTTACATTCTGGCATGGTTCCTATAGAAAATAATAAGCCGGGCATTTTATACCATTTTTACCTATTGTCTGTCAAAAACGTATACATTTTTTTCTTTTGATTTCGATAGCTGTTAAATATTTAGAATTACATTATATTCAATAAAAGATTTTTTCACGCTTTGTGCACTATGTGGCGTTTAATACAATGATCAAATACAAGGCTATGGTATTGCATTTCTTTCGTCTTTACTTCCTGAAACTTATTTCTCTTTGTCCGTAGATTTATAAATGTGTATTGAAATGTCTGTGGCATTGTTGAAAGGTTGTTTTGAAATTCAACTATAATTCAAATTTGAAAAGATGACCTTACAAATCGATATTGTGCACATTATCCTGCAATTATTCCACAAGAGCGCAATATGAAAAATTCGTCTGCTTATTACAAGCTATAGCTATAAATATAAGAGCTGCGTCATGACCGACAAAACCAGCATAATGGTTTTGCGACCAGCATGGAGGTCCCGCGCATTTGATCGACCAGCGCAAAACGCAATGGATGCGTGCTTTCCTTTAATATTTTCGCAGAGCGATTTTCCAATCAACCCTTTTCTGATCTTTTTTTAAAAAAATTAATAAAATTTAAAAATAATAAAAAAAATTGAAATTAAATAAGTGAAAAGCATAAAAAAATGAAAAATTACTAAACAAAATCCCAAAATCGGAATATCGATTTGTGTGTCTTCAAATAAAAACCCTTTTAAACGAAAGGGTTTACCTACTTTTTCACTTTACCTTGTTTTAAAAATTTATCAGCACGTGTAAAAATTTCAAAAAAACATTAAGGTTTTTTTTATCTTCACAACAAAACAAAAAAAATTTTTTTAGTACATTCATCTTTAAATTTGAGGCGACAAAAACAATTTAAAAAAAAATTTAAGTTTTCAAATTTCCCTCAAAACAGGGAATTTTAAATTCCAAAAATTTTAAAAATTTTGAATCCAAAAAGGGCATATTTAAAAAAAGCCATTACAATTTTTGATGATATAATCTGAATATCCAATTCAGTATTGCATAAAGGAATACTAATATACTAGTACATAACAAGACTTAAAACAAAAGCAGGGTTAAAATGTTTTGAATCATGTCATTACTACATTATTTAAATCATTTCAAAAAGAAAACCCAAAAAAAGTCCCCCAAAATTAAAAGGGTAGATATTAGATTTTCCTAAAAATTAAACACCATTTAAAAACACTTTTTCCAAAACGTTTATAAACAATGTTTGACCCTTTACTTTAATTTAATTTTAAAAATGATGATGATGATGATGATGTTGAAAGTGATGATGACGACGACGACATCAAAGGCGACAATGATAATGATGGTGGTGGTTTAAATGATGAATATATTGATGATAACTAAGATAACAACAGCGGCCACAATGATGATGACGACGATGATGATAGTGATAATGATGATAATGTTGATGACGACAACAACGGCGGCAATGACGATGACGACGACGATGATGATGATGGTGGTTGATGGTGATGATAAATATAAAAAATAAATGATGATATTGGGGAACAATGTTGGGCCTTAACCTTGATCTTTTAAACCTACTGCCCCAAAAATCTTTTAAAAAAGGCAAATCCCTTTCGTGGCTTTTTAAAGGGCAATAAAAGGGTTTTTCCAAATTCTAAAATGCGTTTGGCTGACTTGCCCAAAAGTAAAAAAAAAGAACTGTCGGAGGACAGTATTGGGCCTGACTATTCAAAAAGTTGTCACTAGGGGGTTTTATTAAAGAAAAAAATTAAATGCAAATTACCTATAAATACAAAAAATTTGACCAAAAAAGATACAAAAGTTTTTTTTTAAGATTTTTTTTAAAAGAAAACAAATGCTTTATTTTTGAATGCATAAAAATTGCCCCCAAAAAAGGCCCCAAACCCCTTTAAATAGTTATGGAAAAAATAAAAAGGCTTACAAGCAAAAACTTTACATAAAAATTTTCTAATTTGAAAAAAAAAAGGAAAAAAAATCGCCAAAACAAGATAAAATTTACGGATTTTTTTTCAGGGACCTTCCCAATTATGCCCAAAAACAAAAAATATCTTTAATATTTTATTAAGATATGTAAAACTTGAAATTGAAAACATTAACCAAAAGGAACTAAGAAAAGAAAAGGGAATGAATCGGGGGCCAAAAATTTTTTTGGCAAAACATAGATTTATGCGAATTTGGTCAGTGAAAAAACCCAATTTTTCCCCACCCAAATTTTAGGGACCCAAAGTACATGTGTAAAGATCAAAGAAAAAATCCCCTTTGAACACCTATAACTAATTTTCGAAGGGGCAAAAAATTTCTGCAAATTTTGAAAGGCAAGTTATGCAATTTTGCAAATTTTTTGTCCCATAAATTACTAAAAAAAAAGTTTTGAAAATTTAAATTTGGGAATACCTCAAGCAAAAATTGAAAAAATTTGATTTTAAAAAAAAACTTATCCCCAAAAAATTTTTTCTAATTTTAAAAAAGGGGGCAAAATTTGTAAATTTTTTGAAAAGGAAAGAGTTGCCCAAAACTTTTCAATCTGTTTTGTACTTTGGGTAACTAAAAAATTAAGAATTGTAAGTTTAAAATTTGGGAATATTTTTCGACCCAAAAATTTGAGATATTTGACTTTACAAAAAAAATTAAACCAAAATTTTTTAAGAAAAAAAAGGGGCAAAAATTCTGTAAATTTTGAAAGGCAGAGTTATCCTACTTGCCCAATTTTTGATAAAAACTATAAATAAGTTTTTGGGAAAGTTTTCAATTGAAAAAATCTGAGCAAAAAATAGAGATTTTTAGTTTTTTACAAAAAAAAAAAAAACCAAAATTATCAAAGGGGAAAAAAGGAAAGGCGTTTTTCTATAAAATTTTGTGGGAAAGAGTTATCCTACTTGTAAATCTGATGTTCCCTTTGGGTTATTTTTAAATAAGATTTTTACTTTTTAAATTTAAAAATTATCTCAAGCAAAAATTGAGATTTTTTGGACTTTCCCCTTAAAAATATTTAAACCCAAAAGCATTAAAACGACGCCGACCGACTTAAAAATAGCCCCTCAAACCTCTTCGAATAGTCGGGGCAAAAAAAACGTTTTTTTTTTGGAAACACTGATGAATTTTTCAGGGAACCTACAAAGTCTCCCTAAACTTTTATACCCTTTTTTTAAAATTTTTGGGTGTAAAAACACATTTTTTTTGGAATGACCTTTGGGAAATTTTGCAAAAGAGTTTCAGCTACGGCATTTTTTAAAAGGGAAAAACTGCTTATAAATTTTGTATCGTATTTATGACTTAATTTATGCATGTTTGAGAATCAGACCTGGTAGAACACACATTGTATACAATTGTTTGAATAACAGAGTTGAAATATTTATGATCTGTCACTGTGTACAATATTTTATTCATTGAGACGGTGAAACAAGAATTCAAACAAAAGAGCATTGCATTAGGTGTTGGAATGTTATCGACAGAAAGAACGTTTGTTTTTTCATTGGGGGCTTTTTTTTAAATTTTCCCTCTGTTTCTTCCGAGAAAAATTGCGTTTATTTTCCTTATGTTGTGTTTAAAAAGTTTTTTTTAATGGCGAAGCAAAACCAATGAAATAAGATAGCACATGACCAAAC